TTTGTGTCCCGGCTCCGGCCGGTTCGTGCCCCTGGCGGGGGCGTTTCCCCAGCGAGTGCCGCTCTCTCCGGCAGTGATGCTGATCGAGGAGCTGCAGTGCCCCGGCCGGCTGAAGACGCTGAAGAGGCTGAAGGGGAAGAGGCTGAGCCGGCTGCAGCCGCTGCCGCGGACGCTGCGGCTGCTGGGGCTGCTGCAGCTGGACGAGAACCACCGCGTGGGCAAAGCGGCCACGGCCTGCCTGGCCCGGGCCGGCGGCAGCGGCAGCCTCCGGGCCCGGGTGAGTGCGGGGACAGCGAGGGGACAGCGGGAGCTTCCCCGGGCCGGCACCGCTTTCCTGGCCGTGTTCTGCCCGGGGCCGAGCCCCTAAGGCAGCGGTGCTCCGGTGTCTCTACCTTGGCTCATTTCACGGGGAACCCCGCTCCTGCCATGGGGTTGGGTATTAAATTGACTCTGTGTTTTTTTGTGCGGTGTTTTGCCCCAGGCCGTGCTGTTTTACACGGATGCTTTATCCGGCTGTGACGCGAGGCTGCAGCAGGCTGCGTGTCTGGCTCTGAAGAACCTCAGGGTGAGCGCTCGGGCTCTGCCCCGAGGCCGGGATCAAATGCGCTGGGCTGGGCTTAGCGGGGCGGGGGTTACTGCAGCCGGGAGCCACCAACTGCGGCTGCCACGGCACCAGACCCCGAATGCCATCAGTGCCAGGGCCGCGGCACAGCAGCTGCGGGAGTGCCTGAGCTGCCGGGCACAGCACGGCGGGTGTGAGAGCTCCTGGGATGCTCCGTGCTGAAGGGCAGTGCCTGACTGGGGACATCAGCACGAGCATAAACCAGCAACGTTTCTGTCCCAAACATTTATCTGTAGAAACCTGAAGTTAAATCGGGGGGTATTTCTAACAATAGCTCACTAAAGTCAGAAAACAAAGCTAATGTTTGCATTGCTATTATAAGAAGCAGCACAGATTTAAACCTTCCCGAGGGCCCTAAGCTGTAATAGGTTTGCACACAAACAGGGAACCAATGTCTGCAAACAGGTACTCACACAACAGCAAATCAGGGTCGATTTGCAAAGCACCAGCTGGGATTAACCCTTTCAGTGAAGGTCCTTGTTGGTACTGATTTAATGGTCCCACAACCGTGGCCTGTACCCTGGAACTTTTACACTTTCTGATGCCCTAAAACAGGAGAGAAGGTAAACAGAGGTGAGATCATACCAGGAAATGTGACTGCAACCCAGTATGCTGGGGAAGAGAAAAGTCCTGGAGGAATTTGGATGTCAGAGGAGATGGGAGTTTGTGTCTGTGTTTGCTTTGTAGAAAATGTCCACCAAACTGCTGAAAAGCTGCTTAGGCAAATTCTTCTTTTTTCCAACAGGCTGTGGAGAGCATTGAGCAGGTTGCCCACCTGTGCCAGTCTGAAACAGAGGAAGTCAGGAATGCAGCCAGGGAAACCACACTGTCCTTTGGTAAGGCTTTTGTACAGCTTTAAAATGGTCTGAAAGAGGGATGTGAAATAGTGCAGGACCAGGAGGGGCCTCAAGTTCAGCCTGAACACATCCAGGACAACGGAAATATTTCATGAACAGCTGTTTCATACCATGAAGATAAACTTTACATCACACATAACAGCCAAGGGCCCCTGATGAAGTTTATAGAACCAGACCAAGGAGATCCTGAAGGATTAAGTGCTTTAGGAACCACTGAACCTTTTGAAAAGGTTGTAGCTGAGGACTGACAGTGTGATGCTGGTTCATTACCTGTTACTTCACTGGAATCCAAGTGACAAGTGATTGACAGTGGAGGGGCCCTGGTAAAATGTCAGTGCTCCCCATCTCCCACTGCCCAGCATTTGTGCTTTTCCTGGAAGCTCAACAGCTGCAATGCTGCCAGAGCATGGCTGGGTCATGCAGAGACACCCACTTCTCTGTTCTGTTCTTTCAGAGCCCACTTGGAGCCAGGCTCAGTTCTGGGCATTCCAGCCCTGCCCCACAGAACACTCAGGCCCACATGAGACAGGTTTTCCAGCTCTGATACTCATGGCAATCATTGCAGGAGGCCTGATTTTCCATGGTGCCTTCCAGCAGGTTTTGGAGAACTATTCCCTGAGGGATGTTTGTCACTGTTGAGTCCTTCCTGCCAAGCCAGGCTGACAGGAGTGTCCCCAGAGGGTCCTGGGGTGCCCTGCCTGTCCCTCAGCAGGGGCTGTTTTCTCTCTCCCCAGGGGAACGGGGCCGACAAGCCTTTGAGAAGATGGACAGGATCTGCTGTGAGCTGAGGGAAACTGCTCAGGAGGCCGAGGTTGAAATCACAGTGTTTTAGGAGTGGAATGGGAGAGTGAATCCCCTTGTCCTCACAGCCCCATGGGCACCTGAGGGTTTGGTTTTGTCTGGTTTCCTTCTGTTCTGTCCTGTCCCTGCCATCTCCTGACCCAGCACAGGTTTATTTCCAAAGGGGACAGTTTGTCATCTCCAGGATGCAGCCTGGAATGTATTTTCTCAGTCTCGCAGCACATGATGAAATACCAAGTGCTGGACAAATGAAAACTGGGATCTCTCAGAATGTGGATCCAGGTCTTATCTGGAGTTCAAATCTCCATCTTGCTGGAATTAGCTGCCCCTGCTCCAGCTCTGTCCAATATGATCTGTTTTCCCAGGAAGTGATTTATTGATTTGGCATTCTCCAAGGAGAGAAATGATCTCTCCCAGAGCAGCTGCCCTGTCAGTAGCACAAATCCAGCACCACTGCTTGGTGGTTTCCTTTGCTGGGGCCATTTAGCTGCAGAAGGAGAACCTGGTACTCCCTGAGTCACTGTGTAATTGCTGCAGCTCAGGCCAGGCCCAGGCAGGCTCTGTATGAGCTCTGTGTGCTCACTGCAGGGCCTTTGCCATGTGCAGCCCTGACTGAGGGAGGGACAGGTTTGCTCTTTTAAAACTCTGGATTCAGTCACAGCCCAAGACTTGTCCTCCTCATCCCCCAGCCCTGGCTGGCAGGGTGCCCATGGGGAGCAGCCTGGCTCAGGTGCAATACTTGAAAGGGGGTTGGGATTGTCTGTACATATTTTTATATATATATTATATATACACATAAAACTTTTCTATTTGGTATTTATTTGTGGATTTCATACTGTTTTCTAAAGTTCTAATAAACCATTTGAGACAAGTTCCTGGGAGTGTTTCCTACTGCTGTGCTTGCAGCCCTGGGGCCAGGTAAGAGGCACTAAACCCCAAGGGATGGGCCCTGATCTGCCCTGTCCTGCTCCCCTTTGGTGAATGCTCTCCTCCAGTTGTAGGCTTCCCTAGAAATATAAACCAAAGGTCAGTGCTGGAATTCAGCATGTGCAGGCTGCAGCTGCAAACGGGGTCAGCATCAGCTCCTGCACAAACCAACCAGGGTGCTTGAGTTCCTGCACTTCTTACCCTTAAAATGTACCCATTCAATGTGAAAGACCAGAAGAGGGAAATGGAAGTGGCAGGGAGGGATTGGGGATCCTCTAATCTTTTACTGGAGCTCTGCCTCCAGGACGTTCTTACAGCAACATTTAAATCCCTTTATGCTACAAACCTACCTCCCCCAGCCCTCATGTGCACGTGGGTCAGACAGGAGCCCATGGATCCAGCCCTGAAGCAATAACACATTCAATGAGTTCTTTAAAAAAAGAGTTTTATTGTTACAACTAAAATGAGAACTGAAAACTTGTATGGGAGATTGAAAAACTGTACAGTTGTACTCTAACCTGGGAGGCCCAGCAGCGGCTTACACAAAAGACAAGATACCTGAAACTGTATTATACCAAAACATTCAGCTTTTTTGTTGAGTTTTTACATATTTTTTTATAAAAGTTTATTCTATGGCAATCTGTAAAAAAGAAAGACCTGATGAGTAAATATTTGCTTAAGGCAGATAGCAGAGCAGCTCACTAACTTTCTAACGAGTCTAACATGGATGTTTGTCCATTTCCAAGAACAGGTTACCCAACACCCCACTGTGCTACGGTATATACACCCCCCAACTACCACAGACAGTACAGGACAGCAAACAAAATGGGCACAGCTCAGCATGGCCAGCCCTGCCCACACCTCCCTGGGCTCTGGGCACACTCACTGTGTCCCAGACAGGGTCAGAGCTGGGCCTGGAACACAGGAAAGAAACAGGCACCAGCAGGATGCTCAAAGCTCCTCTGTCATCTGCAGGAGCTTGGTCTGGGTAGCATAATTTGCAATTGAATAAGTCTGTATTCAAAGGAAGGATCCTTTCTTTCCAGCCATACCTGGCATTTAAAATATTCCCTCTTGGGAAGGTGGCCAGAGGTGGGGTGGGTTTGTTTCTTTCCCCAGGTGTCCCAGGGCCAGGGGAGGTGTGGAAGGGCTGCCTGAGCTCTCTGGAATGTCTGTACTACACTCACTCAGCTGAAAGGAACATGCTACCACCGGGCACACGGAGCACACGGGATCCCACGGGAAGTCATGCCAAGGATTAGGCGAGTACACGGGCTCTGATAAACACCAACGGTCCAGTGCTGAACAGAGACACTCAGCAACACCCTCTGAACCACAGCCACTAAGGATCAGGTCATGCAAATACCATTTGGGCACATCAGGAAGCAGGAATATAAGTTCTGTCACCTTTCAAGCAGGTGGTGTTTCATTGGGACACCGCAGACTTCACATGCACTTGAATACAAAGGGGTACAAATGGTGCCTCAGGGCAGGGGCCTGCCCACGCTGCAGAGAACAGTGGGGACAAAGCAATCACAGAATGTATCTTAAATACACAGATGAGCCATTATATATTACCATTTTCTATACTCATTTTTCCTGTTTCCAATAATATAACTAAATATTGACTGATTACAACATTCCTCCTTTCAAGTACTGGTCTGACCAACAGTCTCACAGGTAAAGGATTGAGTCCCAGTACTACCTGAGGATTTATTATTGTACTCTTGAAAAGCCCTTGATGCAAGCTTAACAAAACACAGAATAGAGGAACTCCCACCCCCACCCACCCCCTCACCTACTCACCCACTGAAGGAAGAGCTACACCTACAGCCAGCTTGGCAAAAATAAATACGGAGTGGAGGGGCTCCCCTGGGCTCCTCCACAGCGAGGGCTGCACTGAGGGTGGTTAAGTGCTATAGAGCTAGAAAGACTTTAGAAATAAAACAAATCAGTAACACTGCTGCAGATCAGCTGTCATGGGGCACTTCAATCACTACAGCTCCCAGGAGTGACTTTGCTCCTGTTGTCTGCACCATGACACAAGCAAAGAACTCTTTGCTGTTATTGTTGAAAGTATGAATAATTTGGTATTACCCAAGGAACAGCACTGGCTGCTTGGTGCAATGCTGCCTCCAGTGCCAGTCCTCCCACACAGCCAACCCTCCCCTAGCAGCACTTAGCCCCTGAGCCCAGGTGCTGTGGGAGCCCCGGGGCAGCCAGGGCTGGGATCCCTGCCTGCAGCAGGGCAGGACACACCAGCACTGCCAGCACAGCCAAGGGGCTGCCCAGAGCCCAGCACGGCGCTGCTGCTCTGCTCCTGGCCAAGGGAAGCTGCCCCAGCAGGGACTGCTCTGGCTCTCCCCAGTGCCTCCCTGCTCAGAGCACGCTGGGCCCGAGGGAGCAGCTGCAGAGTGAAACTGCATTTTACATTCCAAATGCTGAGGTTTAAGGACTGGTCCTTCCACGGGCCACGGGCATGGCCCCACTGCTGGTGGACATGGTTTGGTTGAATTTCCCTTTCCTGTTTCTCTCCCTCCCCTCGACCTCTCCCAACCCAGAATATAAAAGTAAAAACAGCTTTAGAGAGGATGGTGCAATGTAAAGAGGCATATGTGCAAGTAGAGTGCAACAAAAGTCAATGAGGAGATACACTTAGTAAAGAAAAAAAAAAGAAAAAAAAAATCAAAGAGCTGGACGTGTTGGGATACCCTGAGCAAATGCAGAAGCCTGGTTCTATCAACACAAGGAAAACAATCAGCTCTTTAAGAACAGTTATGCCAAGATTAAATATATCAATACCACAGGCACTGCCCACAACTCAGTCTTTAAAGATGAAGCAAATTTAAAAAAAAGACAAAAAACAAGCCAAAAACCAACTACAAACACACCTTCCCTTCCAAAAGTTTACATTCTTCAGGTATGTGGGTTTCTTTTTTCTTTTTTTGGGAACTTGTCAATGTAAGTCATGTATTTGGTTACAACACTTGGAGAGTACAAGCAAGTTTCACTTGTGCCTAGTTTTTCTGAAACAAAAGAAAACGAACTGGCTTTTTAAAAAAGGCTAAAAACAACAATGTGTTGTAATTCTATTATTTAGTTAAAAAAAAAAAAAAAAGAAAACAAAAAAGGAAAACAGACTATTTGGCATTTTCTCTGCTTACTCCTGAATATTTCAAGGCCCTGAGATTACAATATTATGTTCTTGGGACCACAGGGCTGGATAAAACCCTAGTGCATCGATTCTCTCATGAAGCCCTACCCAAAGTTCTGGCCTTTCCCCTAAATCTACCTGCTCTGAGCCAAGGCTGCCCTGCCTGGAGGGGCTCCGCGGAGCCGGGCGCGAGCCGGGGGCGGCGCTCCTGCCGCTGCTCAGTGGAAACACACCCTGTAGCAGAGGTAAGCTCCTGCCGTCAGGAACGTGAACATGCAGATATTCACTAGGAAGGGCTTCCAGGTGGCCACCACGCTCTCATCCTCCTCCTCCGAGTTCTCCTTCAGGGACTCCTCCTTGCGGGGCGAGAGCCGCGGGTTGTCCCCGACAGGTCTCCTCCGGGCTTCAGTGTCGTGACTAGTGCTGAGGACAGAGGGAGAGAGGGAGGGACCTTCAGGGCTGGCTGGGAATGAATACTCCATGCTGGACTGGCCACGGAGGAGAGAAGCCATGCAGGTGCTCCAAGGGCAGGGAACACCACAGAGCTGGAAAGCTCTCGGAGCTGCAGCAGCCACCAAAGCCCAGCCTGTCTCCAGTTAGGAGACATCTGGCTGCTCAACAGAGGTTTAGGAAGAGCTTGGGAGGATTCCGTGCCCTTTAAAGAATAAGCTTTAACCACCACCTGCTTTCACTGCTCATCACAAATCTGCCAAGACAGGCAGTGAAGGAACCCAGCTCACACCCCCAGCCGGGCCAGGGGAGCACCAAAGTTCTAAACTCGAGCACCTGCCCAGAAAGCCAGAAAGGGATGGAATGTGGCTGCTTGCTCAGCCCTAACCCCCAAAGAGCATCTCAAGGTGGAAGTGAACATCTCCTCCCCTCTGTCACTGCCTGCCTGTGGCTCTGTGTGCAGAGGGCAGTGGGTGCTTTACCTGTCTGTGCTGGGGGCCACAGCTGAGCGGGCCCTGCTGTCCGGAGCTGCCTCCTCCACGCTGCTGAGTGAGCTCCTGATCTCCTCCTCCACTGCCTGGGACTTGCCCAGGAGCTCTGGGTGCTCGTGCATCCTCCCATTGTGCACCTCTGAGGTTCTCTTCGGGGGCCTGGGAGGTGGGGGGGTGTGCTCAGGGGGTGGCTCCAGGTCCTCGTTGGAGAGCTCTTTCCACTGCTCCTTCAGGGAAGGACAAACTCTGTTAAGCTTTTCTCTTTCAAGCTGCTCCAACTTTAAACTTTACCATGGCAGAATCTTTATACTCTGCCTTGTAATTAACTCTTACAGTGGCTCTTCATTTGCATTGCAGAAAAGGAAAGAAAAACCAGACACAAAAAGTCCAAGCTACATCCACTACACAAAACATACTGAGAAATTCCAATCTGCTTCTAAAAAACTTAAGCACAAAATAAAATCTATTTTCCTAGAGTTCTGCTTACCATAAAAAACCCTGATGAATTCAATCATGACACTTAAACTTCAAGCATATTAGAAAACTTGTACTGTCTGAAATTCCAGGGGAGGCTGATGCAGCAGCTCCACCCCAGTCACTGTGCAGGAAAGCACAGGAGGCACTGCTACAAAACAGGAACTTTTGGAAATAAATAAAATATAGCACTTTAGGTCGTGACAGATTGTAAAGCAGTGTACCTAAAAACCCCATAATATAAACATGTACTGAAGATGAAGCAAGCACCAAATTTGAAGCTTCTTCCCATCCTGTTCCTCCCACCCACTTGCTGCAGTTCTCTGGAGCTGCCAGGAGCACTCACTTGCACTGAAGCATCTCCCATGATGAATTTTGCCCCTTCAATAACAGCTAGGTAGGAGAAGCGGAGCTGGTCTGCAGTCTGGATGAGCCCCATCCTGTACTTCCTCATCTCCAGGAGAACCTGCTTGACGTCCACGGAAGAAGGATCTTTCCGTTTGTCCATCTGCAGACAGAAATGTGAAACGTTTTCTGCTCTGAGGAGGTTCACTACAGTGACTCATTTTGTGGTAGGGCCTGCATACCACCCTCCACACTACAGAATGAACAAACTCACACACAGCTGCTATCAGCAGCTCATTACTGGGTCTCCAAGAACACTGAGGGGAAAACACTGGGCCTCAAATATGCTGCTTTCCTGAAGGCAAAGCCTGTCTTTGTGAATCACTCTGAAAACTGGAGACCTCCCTTCCCCAGACTCAGAATGGCCACTTAGGAACCAGACCTGCCTTGGACTGCACTCCTGGGACAGCGGGGTAAAGCAATGGCAGGTGACAGGAACGCTGCCCAGCCCCTGGCCCTTTGCAGTCTGCCCCTGGGCAGAGCAGAGCAGAGCAGAGCAGAGCAGAGCAGAGCAGAGCAGAGCGCCCTTACCAGCAGCAGACAGGTGTCCACCAGGCAGAAGGTGCCCGACCTGCCGATGCCCGCGCTGCAGTGCACCACGACCGGGCCGTGCCCGGGGCTCAGCGAGCCCGACTCCCGCACCTTGAACAGGAAATTCAGGAACGACGCCGGCGACTCCGGCACCCCGAAGTCGGGCCAGGTGGTGTAGTGAAAGTGCAGAATCTCTCGAGTTTCCTGGGTCTGCAGAAACAGGGGTTGGGTACACCAGTCAGGACTGGGAACACCGACTGAATTCCAAAGTTTCACCAGACTGAGGGAGCTTTTATAGCTGCACGGCCAAGAAACTCGTTACAAGTAATGGTCTCTTGTTGGGAAGGGCTCCACTGGGAGCAAAGGGATTTTACCTGTTTCAAGTTTAGTTATTTCAGTACAGTTCAAAAGCTTGTGTCACTCTGGGTATGGCTGAGACATGAAACTGCCTGGAGGGTCCCCAGGAACATCTCACAAATACCCAGGAGTTCCATTTCCACAACATCTCATGCAGGATCATCAAATCCAGGACAATTCATGACCACCAATTTCCAGCCCTTGTTGGTGAGGAGATGAATTTCAGCCCAAGGAGAACAAGGACTGGATGAGACCCGGTACTCACGGTCAGGTTTTCCAATTCCAGCTGTCGTACTGTGTAGTAGGATTTGATATCTTCAGATATCAAGGTTAGTTTCAAGTTTGTATCTTCAAAAAACATTTCTTTCTCTTCCTTCCGTGGCCAGTACTGTGCACACTTTACCTAAAGCCAAGCAGGAGATACATAAATGTCATTACCCATTCCTGACTGAATTGCAGTTTTCTTATTAAGGTTTCCCAGAGAGATGAGCTCTGCAGAGACTGCTGCATGCCAGGGACTTTAATGAGCCAACCAAATGGGAAAGCAGCACATTTTCAAGTGTGCAGGAAAAACCTGGAACTAAAATACTCATCAGCAGCACGAAGAGGAAAGTCTGCACCCAAGCTCCTGACACTGAAATGTGGGATCCTGTGCCTGGGAGAACTGGCCCCTCCTGCTGCCCCTGAGCCCCTGCTCTGCCCTGGGATCAGGATCAGCCCCTGACCCTCCCCTCTCCCAGGCTCTGCACGAGGCTCAGGCCTCTTCTGCTAAAGGGCAAACAATGTGGCCAAACCAAAAGTGGCAGAACGATGCTAAACCAACAGCAGGCCCAAGACTAAGGTGATTTCAGACAGCATTTTAATAAACAGAAAACCCCTGCAGCATTTTCTTCATAGGCAGACTAAGAGTGGTTTTGCTCAAACTAATTCTAATTTATTTTGAAAATACATCCTCTTATTTATCAGGCTGTAGAATGCAGTTCCAATTCTCTGCACTTTTTGTGTGGATTTATAAAAGTTATAGCAATTTCCTTTCTGTCTAATTTCTCCACAATGTGTCTGCAAACAATATTTTGTCGTGCTCCACTCTAAGTCTCCCACTGCTGTTTGCTGAGGAGGGTAAGCACTGCCCTAAGGGACCACAGTAATTTATTTTGTTCGAAACTAGAGCAGTGCAGAGAGGGAGCAGGAATGGTTGGAAAGGAAGAAAGTATTGAAAAATTTGGTTACCGCATCTCTTTTGAAGATTAAATTTCACTTGTAGTACAAAACCCAGCAAAACACTGAAAATTCCAGACTGCAGTTTATTAAAGCACAGCTCATTGCCCAAGAATTTTCCTGATTATTGGGAATGTTTTTCTGATGATGCAAAAGCATGTACCACCCAGTTATCACTGGTGGACACCCAACACCCTCACTGCCCTCCTCCAAAATGTCTTTACACATGATTGTGCTTTACTGTGTACAACAGTGACCCTGGAGGGGACAGTGTGCCCCAGGCTCAGTGCGTGATGGAAACCTGGAGCCCCAGAGCTTCTCTCTCTGCTGCAAAGCCACTTCACACTGCAGAGCCCCGAGAGGTGCAGTCTGTGCACACTGAGGACAACTCCAGAGCCCCTGGTGAGCAGCAGAGACTTCCATTTGTGTGGAGTCACGGTGTGTTTGTGTTTTATTTTAGCCAAATTCATGAGAAATTAGGCCCCACAATTACAAAGCCAGTGATTTTCTGACTGCAGCAGGATCAGTTCACCAAGTATTCAATTCCAGGTACAATTTCTCAGACAAAACTACTTGCAGTCATCCCATCCCATTCTTTGGGTCGGTTTTACTTGGGTTTTTTATTAGAGAAAGCCATAAATGTGATGAACACACAGCTAGAGCTGGGTGAGTACTTACGGATCCCTTTTCCATCACTCTGTTCAACATGACAACACCACGGCTTTTCTGTTCCCAAACCATCTCCCAAAAGTGACCACAAGTATTTGGCAAAGGTCCCTGCAGAGACAGAATCACCAGAAATAAGCATTATTTTCTGTAAATGTCAGGGCATTCTTCCCCAGTAACAGTCCCTGCACAAGGCAATAGATTTAAAAAAGTAACAAGCAACTTCTCATTTAAAACTGTAAAAAAATGCAGTGAGACAGCTTTAAGTTCCATGTTATGAATTTACCCATGAAAACATGGGTAATCTTTTCCCCCCATACATAAGAGGAAGAGAGACACAGTCTCATTGTGAGAACAGAACTGGGAGTGAAAAATGCTGCATTTTCTTAGGAAAGATATACAAAGGTCATGGGGAAATAAACCCCACTGACTAAAAGCAAAAATAACATCTGTGTCAAACTACTCTGCAATCCCTCATCCTTATTCATGATACTTGAAAATTACTTGACTAAAACATCCAAAAGACTGAAAGGATGCAAAATCAGTAACAAATTATATGGTTTTCCACAATCTTCACAGATTTGCCTTGGGACAGAATGAAATAGTGACTCCTTTTAAAGACTATCTATTCCCAAAGTAGATTTCCTTATAACTTCCTACTTCTGCTATGTTCCTTTGCTATTTTCTACTCTGAAGCTATAGCTCTGAAGCTTGGGTTGGATCCACTCCTGTGCTCAAACAGAACAGCAGGTCCTTAGAAAGAATGACTGGATTTAAATGGAGCCATTCAAAGCCATTAAATGTGGATCAGGACAGTACCAGTATCAGTCAGCTGCACATCTGAGCATTGCCCCCAGAGCTCAGCCCTGTGATCCCCCCAGCCTGAGGCAGGGCAATGGCAGCTCTGCTCAAAGGACCATTTTCACATTGCACACTGCTCTGCCCATTTCTTCCTGAGAAGATTTATCTCTATTCTTTAGAAACAGGAAGGAAGAGCTGTCACTTGAAAATATTAATCCCAGTCTACCTTTATCTAAAGCGTGGGAGGAAGGGGTAAAAAAAGAGCCAAGATTAGAGATCAGGACAGTCTCCAGGGAAATGAACATTTAGCACAAACAAGAAGCCTGGCACAGTTGCTGGCTCTCAGAATAAGACAACAGGGCATGTGGGTACTTTTAATTTGTTATACAGATAGGTGGGGAATTGACAGATTCAGGGAAAAGCAGTGGCTTTTATACACACACAGATGTTTGTATGCATTTAAGTAGCTTTACAATAAAGAAAACAAACAGAAAATCCATGAAAAACAGCTCCAGCCACCATAATATTTTTATAATCCACTGCCAGCAATTACCTGGGTAAGGATGTAGCTCCTTTGGGCCTCTTCCATTTTTATCAAACTAGCATTGATATAGTCATTGTCACCTTGGTTTAGCTTAATTCGACTGTGATCAACTGCAGCACAATTAGAAAACACAGGTTAATGAGTATGGAACACAGGGCAGGCACATCCTCACCAGCAGGAGGGGTCAGGAGCTGAGCTGTGCTGGGCAGTGCCCACTGGGATCAGCCCCTCAGAGCAGGGAGCACAGCTCCCACTTCACCTCCAGGAACCCACTGCAAGGGTGAGGCCCTGGCACCTGCAATAATCCCCACTGCCATCTGCAAACCAGATCACACTGACCTCTCCATTCAGTTATCAAGTTGCTGGTTTAAAATAAATCTAATTACACAACTGCTTATCTTTTCAGCTTAAACATTCAAATACAGCTTGTTCAAGGTTGTTAAAGGTTTGTCTAAACATATATTGGATAAACAGGACAGAGACCTTTTATTCTTATAGGTATTTAGCTACTGTTCCCAACCTGACCACCCTTTCATGTACAGAAAAAATGATCAAAATTCAAGAAATAAAGCAAATGTAAAGCATTTGCTCTTTTGTTAGTCACTTGCTCAACCTGGGACTAAAGAAACCAAACCACCAACTAAAAAACCTCAATACACACAAGGGTTCCCACATTTTGCAAGAAAGCAAACAGACTGGGAGCAGGATTATCTAAAGGTAAGAAGGAATTTGTTACTCACAACCTCAACTATTAGAACTGCTTAGTAAAGCAATTACAGTAAAGCATCACTGTTGTGGTTAACTGCCCCAAAGGCCTCAGGAGCTTTAAGCACAGAAGTTCTGTGGCCCAGGGACAGCAGCTGGGCATCTGGGCCAGGACTGCTGAGCTCAGGGAGTGCTGCGCCCTGAGGGACACGTGGGCCAGGACTGGCACTGTCCTGTGCCGAGGAGGGGGCTCAGAGACCTCCTGGGAGCTCCCTGCAGTGTCAGACACATTAACTATTATTGCTGACCAGTCCATGGAGCATCATTTCTGCCATGTGGCTGCAGCCCAAGGCCCTGGATGGCAGCTGCGGGCAGGTGGCACCGGGACTGTGCCTGTCCCTGGGATGGCAGCAGGAGAGCCAGGCTGCAGCAGCACAGTGAGCTGTGCTTGCACAGGACCCGTGCCCAGAGAGGCATCTCCCCCAGCACAGGGGACACAGCCATTTCAAACCCCAGCTGCAGCCTGGGAGCATCACCATGAGCTCTGCTGTGCTCCAAGGAGCTCAGCTCTGTCTGTGGCAGAGCTCTGTGCCACCCTGCTGCCAGGAGGGCACTGCTGCCACCTGTGCTGCCTGCAGGAGGCTCTGCTGGCTGAGAGCTGCACAGGAACCACCCTGCAACCTTAGAAATGCTAATTCAGCCACCATTCTCAAAGGTAAAGCAAGTTTCCTTCTTCAGGTTTCTGCCCACAAATTCAGACTCTACTGTGTGCTGCTCTTGTATAACCCTGTGGATATAAAAGCATCCTGCGACACCAGTCTCACAAATAAATAAATATAATAACAAAGAGTTGTCCTGGGTGCTTATCCACCTAACAGAATCTTGTTCTTACAATGAACATTCAGCTGTGAAAAGTCATTGTAAGTCAACAGTCTTAGAAACAATGGAAAAGAAAGTGTACTTACAGGGGCTGACATCTCTGTACCTATTTCTATTTTTGTTTCTGGGATGTTTGGCCACTTTACATGGAAAATCACTGGCTTCATGCCTGATGTCCTGCAACATAAAAAAAAAACCAACTCTGTTACGTATGAATCCATCTAATTTCATACCATTGGCTATTTCAAGGCAAATCCCCATCTGACTTCACATCTTCATGTGAGGGAATTCTGGACAGAAAGCACTTTGGGCCTCCAATTAAGAATTGAGTTTAAATTTCTCAGAATGCAACACTAACATTATTTATTAAAATATTATTAGTTTGCATAATAAAGCAGCACAACATTCACCAGACATGATGCCTTTCAGCTCCTGAAGGAGCAGGGTCTCTGCCCCAAAGCACTTCCACACAAACTGCTTTAAGCCCTTGTTTGCAGCATCAGTGAAAATATCAACCCTGCTTCTGACTCAGCAGCAGTGAAAACATTCATTGTGATAGAAAAGAACTTGTCTGCCCCCCTTGGCATCACACAGACACAGAGTGATTTGTCTAAGACCACTTTCATCATTATCCTGAGTTATCAGCACGATGTCACAGAGCTGCAGTGGCAGAAGTCAGCTGTGCTCAGCTAAAACAGATGCAGCACCTCAAACAGATCAGCAGGGCTCTCTCAGATAGGTTTTTTCAGGTGCATATAATAGCTCAGCTACCTGAGACCATCTCAGAAGCTAAAATAAAAAGAATTCTGCTGCCCTTGGACATTAGTCCCAATTTGCTGAAACAGAACTTCACATTGTAAATAAATACTGTGTAAGCACAGTTCTGCATATAAAGAATCAGGATTTTTTTCAAGTGGGCCATCTACTGCAGCACATTACCTGTTTATCTCTTGTGCTGCATTATTCAGGTATGTACCAATTTACCCTGAATGCTGCGTGTCAGGAGAAGAGTTCTGATTTACATAAACCTGCCCAAAATTAGCACAGTATTCCAAACCTGAAATAAGGGCTGACATCAGCTGCCAGCTTTTTATAACTGAACACATGGCTGCCAGTATTTCTGCTTATGAAGAATGCAGTCTGGAGAATATGATCTGGACTGCCACAGTCTAATATCTCAAACATGAGGCAGCTAAAATGGGTGTTTTCAGAAATTTGTCTCTGACACTAGGTTAGTGACTTTGTACTTTACAGGGATTTATTCTCCCATACTGACTGTACAGGATTAACAAGAGAAAAAACCAGGGAACTAGGAAAAATGGTTTTCTAGATCACTAACCACATTTCCCAAATGTGTGTTGAAAATCCCTAACACCCAAAACCAACACAACTCCCCCCCACAGGATTCATATTATAAAAGCATCAAAATGCAAACCAAACCAAGATCCCTAAGGAATTTTCCTTAGAGAAAGTAAATACTGGGCTATTTTAGCAGCAGCACTAATACACAGTTTCATTTCCCAGAATTAACAGATTTGAAAGAAATCTGTCCCCTATTTTAAAACTAAATTGATCAAATGCTTCTTTACAAAATGGAATTATACAAAGGAACTCTAATACAAAAATATTACACTGAAGCATCCACATGTATGTGCACACACAAACTACTGCCAGTCCCCAGGAGTTCCACAGATTCCAACACCAACATCCAGTATTTCAGGAACTGAAAGTGGCAATTTATTGTGCAGGGAATAGAGAGCTGGCTATTACCTCACCAGCAAATATCAGATCTTTTTCAAGATGCCACAGTGCCTAAAGGTACTTGGAGAATAATGGAGTTCTAGAGATGCTGAACTCCCACAGGCACAGAGAAAATGGAAAGAAACAAGTCACTCGAGTGCCTTCAGCAGACTATTTAAAACCAGCAGTGTATTTCTGGAGCATGTTTCAAGAAACAGGAAAAACCACGGGCTGGGGGTGGGATGGTAACAAAAGAGGGATGGAAGCATGGCAACAAGCAAGTTCTGCCTGGTGAGGAAAGGCAGCCAGCACCCAGCACCCCACTGCTGAGCGTGAGGAACACAGGAAAAGAGAAAACCCAGGAGAGCAGGCATGCCTGCACATCACACAGGGCACACTGTCCTCAGCAATGGGGGAAAGCAGTTTGGAGTTTTGGTTGGGCTTTTTTGGATATAGAAGTTGCTAGAACGTCTAAAGTGACCAAAGAAAATTTATCATCCAAGGTCACTTCCAGGATATGCAGCTGACTGTAGTGGAAATGCAATTGCCTTCAACAGAGAACATGGCTGTAGAGAAGAACCCAGTACCCACAGGAGCTGTGTGGCCATGTCAGGGCCTTGTCAAACACTGCTGGTCCTGGTCACTGCTGGAGCCACCTCATTACTGACACCACTCAACTGCTGTGAGGGTAGGCTCAGAACACGCTCTAACAGTACCACAAGGCCCCCACCCTGGAGAAACCAGACTCATTCACAGCAGGGAATTATTCTGCTCTGAGGAACTTGAAGCAGAGATGTCACGAGAACTGGAGGTAGCGGATGAAGGCAGGGATTCATGAAGTTACCAAACACCTTCTTGAATCACACCCAGTCACACTGCAGAGATCCTGCCTGTCGAAAAGGAAGCTTGACATTTCATTTAAAAGGTCGTGCAATATAAAACTTGGAAGAGGAAGGGCTAGAACTGAAGTCAGTTTTCCAAAATCAAATGCTTTGGGTTTGGAGCATGAGTCACTTCATGCCACTCATCTCCTGGTTTTAAGCCCTGTCCCCCAATACTTTGGGGTGGAAAGAGGAAGTCTGCTGAAGCCCTGCTCTTCAAAAGGGAACTTCCTGAGCTCCGAGCACAACAGCACATCGGGCTTCACTTTCCCCATCCTGTCCAGATGCCAACAGGAGATTCAGAAAGAGAAGATGCACCTCAAAATCCCCAAGTAAATATTCTGTAAGACCACAGGAAGAGTGGCCATGCCATCAGCCATTCAAGCACACTGTGTAGATTTGTGTATCAGTGTTTAGAACAGACACTAAAGGTGCAGTCTCAGCTTCACCAGACTCACTCCCAGGAAACCTTGCAGCAGGGCTCAATTTGATCACACTGTTTAATTGCACCATAAAGCCTGGAGCAGATCAGACTCAGAGATAACAATTTACTGTCATTTTAGCAGTTCTGCTCCTACGGGAAGCAGCAAATGCCAAGATCTTATCAGGGGCTACAGAATTGCTCCTAATCCATCTACTGAGGCACTCACACTAAGGACAGCACTTCACAAAAATTATATATAAAGACTTATATAAAAAAGTAATCTTAGCTAAAAAACAGGTTTCCTCTTAAAGCTGCCACTGAAGAAAATGATGACATGATACTGCTGGAAAAGGTGGAAGACTAAAAAGTTGCAATACAGTCAAGTGGAAGGTGCTCTTTCCCCATGATGTCACTCAGGCTGGTTTCAGAATGGAAATACCCCTACAATCCAATGAGGTTGCAAAGAGCTGTATAGAAGAGCACAAGAAAACCAGCAAGTACCAAGAGATTCACAACAAACTCCTACTTTACACAAATGGGAAAAGGCCTTCAGATTCAGTATGGGAGAGAGCAACCTGAGGCCCTGAACTGACTCCCCAACAAAAGAACTTCATGAAGATATAAAGCACACAACTGCTCAGGCAGCCCACCTTGACAAGGAAGATTTGATTTCTTATCCTACATTAAGCTTTACATGACGGTATTTGGGCAAGAACAAGAAATGAGGATGTAACTTGTAGGTAAGAGGAAGGTCATCTAAAGATCAGATAAATGAACAGACAGCTGCACCACACAACATAAATCTCAACAAGCAGCTGCAGAATTTTAGCCAGCTAAGTGAAATAAATGTGGATTTTAATACCCTTTAAAAACATTTTATCTGGCCTCCTAATTTTGCTTTCAACTAAGATATGGTAGTGTTGATTTGCTTACTAATCTCCCTCAAAAAAAAAAGAAAAAGAAACCAGTTGCCTGCTATGTGAAGCTTCTTCCTGAGGTGGAGCAGCACAGAGAGGAAAGGACAGGCTTGTTTAAAGTTGAACAGCACTCTTACAGGAGGTTAGAATAAATAAATAAATAAGAAAGCCCACACTTGCAACACGGTTTCCTAGAAAGCCCCCTGCTAGTTCAGCACTGCCCGGGCACCGTGAGCCGGCGCGGCCTGAGAGGGTTCGTGACTCCAGGCAGCTGCTGGGAGCACGGAAATAACCCCCAGGAGAATGTAAACTGGCCATGGCTGCCACATTAAATCATCTCAACACGTGGCAAAGTGGGCTCATTTTTCCCAGGGCTGTATTTATCAGAGCTAGCAGGTATTCCAGACTGTCTCTCAGCACTGACCAGCTCCAACACGCCTCACTGAGAGGCTCCTGACAGCAAACCTGCGGTTCCTCACTGCAGCCACTCCATCAGGGAGATAACTGCACACTGTACATGCTCACTTCAACACCTGCACCTGAGTGGCTCTCAGGGCCTGGCAGCACTTCCAGAAGGGAGAAAGCCACAGATTTGTGCCACTTCCACACTTTAGCAGTGCATTTATCTTGCACGTTCCCAGAAGGAAGGCACTGCTGTCAATAAACCACAGCAACACTGCACAGCCCAGCTGCTCAGATTCTCAGATTGCCTCGGTGTCATCTGCAATGGGTAAAAACTGATTTTTCAGTTCTGGTTCTTATGAGTGTTGCAACACAGACAGGGAAATCAAAGAGCTAAACTCTAGTATCAGGTTAAAGAATTACATGAGACTTCTCAAATTTCAGTAAGTTCAAAATATAGTTTGTCCTTGAAATTTATGACCCATAACAGAAGAAGTTCAGAGCTGCTGGCAGGAACATTCTACTTCTGCTGTTTTGTAGCCATGTACTCACTGCCAAAACAGGAAACAACTGAATGGAGTGTCAGCGTAAGAAAACAACTCAAGTTCCCCTCTTCTTCTTCACATCCATCTCTATTTTTCCTCCCAGATACTCAATCTGCTCCAGAAGTGCATCTTGGACATTATTGGAAGGATAGAGACGTTTAAGATTGTGAAATGGCTTTTTCTTGACAGCTGCTGTGCAAAAGCAGAGCTTTGCTATCTGTATCATCAAACAGAGTCAGTGCCAGGAAATAAACCACACTCTCATTAA